AAAAAAAAAAAAAAAATCATTGTTGAATCATCTAACATAAATAAATAAAAGAACTAATGCATCGATAATATACAGTAGGTCCTTTTTTTTCATTACTGACTCATTTTTCATATATTTTTGTTGAGGGTTGTAATATGTTACTTCATTCTTTTTATAATAGGATATCATTTTGTTATTTTTGAAAAAAAAAAAAAAACATTAGGAGCTCATTTGTCCTATATTTTATTTTCATTCTTAAAATGATATGTTTAATAAATTAATTAATTTACTTTACTAAAATTAATTGCAAAAAAAACATTCATCACCACGTGCATCGCTCATGCACTTTACTAATATATATATATATATATATAGTTGGGATCGTATGAGAATGACTCACAACCTACATCATTGGATCTACTACATGAATGGCCTTGATGAAGTCAAACCTGATTAAAAATAGTCAACCACGCAGTGGTATATATGTAAATAATTGGACATCATTTGATCAAATGTAATCATCTTAGGGAAAATATGTAAATTACCCACACCACTTAATCAGTTGGCCTCACCCACCATAACACAAACTCATACTTTGTCTCTCATACACAGATAACACGCATACATTTAACAGAGCGACTGCCGGCCATCAGTTGGCTCTCTCTCATTTCTCATACATTTTGCGTGCACCGACAGGCTAGTGGCTGCCGCCACAGTCGCAACCACCTCCCCCATCGACATCCCCGACCTCTGCTCAACACCCTGACTCAGCCTCGACCACCTAGACGCAACTGCATCATGCTGCTCGCCGCCGGCCAGTCGCCCGCCCCGACGCCGACGCGTGTAATGACGGTCAAGTGGATGCCAACACTGTCGCACCACCTCCTCTCGATGTCCCCGACCTCCGATGGCCACCCTGACGCAGACCCGACCACCTAAACTCAGTTGCCTTCCGCCATACCGCCACCGTCAATCTCACTTTGCCATCGACAGAATACGATATGTCGTCGCCCACACGTTGCTCGACCTGTCATCCGCCACCGTCTTCTCTATATACCTTATCGAAAATTGCCCAAACAAGACCATGAAACCCTAATCCCCAAATTCATGCATTTGTTAATTCAAAATCAGATCGGAGAAGGTACGAGGCTTCAAACGGCCATCGTCGGGCTATGTCATGTGAGAGAGCAACTGCAGCGGGGATTAGGTGAAAATCAACAGAGGCATGAGAAATGGATGATTTGAGGGATGTTGATTGTTGTGAATTAAATATATTTCAAGGGCTTTATTGCAATTTTGTAATTTTAACATATTACAATTTGGTTAGTTGGTCAAATTTGTAATTAATGAAAACATAATTAGTATTGTAATACTTTTATATTTAATTTGTTGAAAATAAAAAGATACTTTTGTATAAAAATTATAAAAAAATAATAACAAGTTTTTTTATATAGATTTGACATTCGATAAAATCGATTATTTAAATAAAAAATAACATTGTACTGAAATACTGAGTTTTTAAAAGTAAAAAGAAATAATAATCCAACTGAAAATAAAATTTTGAACCAAAAATTTCAATCTGTTCGATTTCATTCGATATTGTGCAATCTGGTACGCATTAATGTGCAATTCATGTAACCTTAATGTGCACTCGCAATACTAAAAAATATAAATAAACAATAATAGTGTTTTTCATATAGTTCGGTCGGCTCGGTTATTTTATTTTTATAAAATAAAGCGCCATTGAATTGAAATAATAAGTATTTTAAAGTAGAAACGGATAATCGATCCAAATTATGAAATTTTGAATAAAAAATTTTAGTTCAATCGTTGTGCAATTCGATGGTCATTAATGTGCAATTTATCTAGCACTGATTTTGTTCCAAAAATCATACTAAATTTCAACTGGAACAAACGCGGTTTATTCGATCGATTAATAAGTTTATCCTAAATAATGAAAATAATTTTTTATTTATATTATAAAAATATATCTAAAAATAAATAATATTTTTATATAAAAAAATATTTTTTACATAATTCTTTTCAAATAATATTTTTATATAAAAAGATAGGGTAAATTGCAGTTTTGATACCCAACCTAAAATTCATTTTGGAAACAGTACCCGTTTTTTAACATTTGCAAAATCAGTACCCCTACTTTCATTCTGTTAGCAACGTTAGTACCCGGCTGTTAGATGCCCGTCGAATTCCTGTTAGTTTTAACGGAAGAGGTCAAAACGGAGGGATTTTGTTTGTTTGTTTTTTTTTTTTTTTTAA